TGCCTGCAGAATCTCAGTTTTAAACATCTCAGCCTCCAACATCACCTCCTCTGCTTCCAGTTCACTTGTTCAAAAACTGCCGATTGCACCAATTCTTTAATTGCCAGTCCATTGACCATCCCACTTTTTCCCTGTCCATCATCTCCCTCCTGTTTTGATGTACCACTGAACCCAGCTGAAATACCCAGCCTTTTGTCATCAGCTCTCCCGTCCCCTTCTCTACCCTACCCGCCCCTCCTCCTTTACTCTTTTGGTGAAACCTCAACCCTGGATCCATCCTTCTGCCTTCTTCGGCCTGCACCCAAACAGATGAAAATCACTCAGCTGGGCTGATGGGTATATGTAAAATTCAGTATCTCACACTTTCCTTTTGGAAATAATTTTAAATAATTATTTAAATTTTAAGTAATTTCCCCCCTAGAATTGTTTCCTTTTTTCAAGACGAGAAGATATAGCCCTTTACATCCAAAGGCTTAAAAATTTCTGACCCAGGATGTGGTGGTTGACGTTGCATGACAGCTTGGCTGGGCCCTGATTCTCGGTGGTTTGGCAGTTATGATGTAGTCTGACAGCTATGTAATGATGTCATCACCTCCATAATGACATCTGATGTAATGTAATCCCCTTCGCAATGAGATCTGTTGTGAGCAACCAATCAGTTGAAAGGAGTTTTCCTTGAGGGTGTGGCCTGCATCCAATATAGGTAGACTGTCTGGCAAGGTTCTCTGGCTTTTTCTCACTGTGGATCCTGCAGCTGGCTCCTGTCCATCTGACCTCCGGTTCTTGGTACATAAGCTAGCAGCTTACCTGCTGATCTTGGGATTCATTAGCCTCCGCAGTCTGTGAGCCAGCATCCTGCCAGCTTACCTGCCAATCTTGGGATTTCTCAGCCTTCACAGTCTGTGAGCTAGAGGCCTGTTGTCTGATTTGCTGATCTTGGGTTCACCAGCCCCTGCAGCTACATGGGTCAGGAGAAGCCTCCAGTCTGACCCATGGACTTGGGACTTTACAGCCCCTACAACTGCATGAGCCATTTCCTTGACATAAATCTCTCTCTCTCTCTTTCTCTGGACACTTCACTGGTTTTACTTCTCTAGAGAACCCGGCCTGAGACAGGCCTGTTCTGATGTACGATAAATGCTTTAATGGACTTTTGTGCATAACTGGAAGCAGCAGGAGGCCTTCTCAGTAACAGCTGGTATGGGATGATGTCCATCCCATGACCTCGGCACCGCACCCACCGCCAGCACTGATGTGGAGGCGAGCCCCTTCCTACTTGTTTCCATTGCCCTGAGATTTTCGTTTGAGCAGGAAAGAAAAAAGAAGGGAGGCTATGATGGCTCAGCACAGGGTGATGGGGTGGAGAGGATGAGGAGTCCCTGTCTCCACTGATCCTCACAGGGCTTTGTTACAGAGGCTGGAGCATCTCCCCACCAAAAACACGTAACTTTCTCCAGGTTGTTTACTGCTGTTAGTTCTAAGATCATTTAGCTTTATTTTAGACCTGTGAGTTCCTCAAAAGCTCCTTTTAAAATACTGAGGTCATGCGTGACTTAATTATTTTAGCTAATGTGTCATGATGGAGCTGGTCGAGAAATGAGTGGAAAATGGAAACAATCGGTGCCTATCTCATTGGAAACCCAGTGTTGAAACACATTGTTTAAACACATAGAACAACACTGTTGAAAGCTGAAACTTTCTGTGTATGCAACAATACCAAGTTTTGTTTTGTTTTCTCCTAGGCAGAGTAGATACACCAGCTGAAACAGGGAGAAGAGCAATTCCTTCTACATTTTATTGTCCTGAAGCAGGATGGTTTGCTTGGAAAGTGATTTTTGGCTTATGCTAATCTTAAGGTCATCTGTTTCTAGGCAGTCATTTACTCATTTTTTCATGTGCTGTTCATTCATTTATTCATTCCAAGCATTCTTATGGACCCACTGAGGAACCGGTGTCCCTCTTTCTGAAAGAGAAAGAACCCCCACCCCTGCCCCCATGTGAATGTGTGGCTTAACTTTCTGCTGGTCGTCTTCCTGAGACAGACGCAGAGTCTCATCCAGAGCATGTCATTAGGAATATGGTTGATTTTCCGTGAGTCGTCTGGAGCATTTAGTGCCAGCACACCCGTTGAGTGTGGAAAAGTAAGTTGTAAGTCTGTGGATTACTGCTTAAGATAAAGGGGGTTCTAAACTGTGGTCTGCCTGTGCTGGGATGATTCGAAGCAGAAAAGGCACTTGGCTCTCCCAGCTGCTGCCCGCTGTCTGCTCCTGCTCTGCCACCTGACCACAGCACGCAGCTCTCGCTGTTGTCGTTTGAGCGCTTGTCACATCACTCGGGGTCAGGCATTCGGTTTAATGGGACCTGAGATAAAGGCTGCTGCTTCCTTAGCACCCATCCACCCAGCTCTACATTCTGTGAGCAAAGCATCTGGGGAGGACAGGCTCCATCCCTGTGGATAACCCCCTCAAGATGGGGCTAATCCAACTATTTATTTTTGGTAAGAAAAATGTACAGTAGAAATTGAAGAGTGCTGTGAGAGAGATACGCAGAAGTACTAGAGGCCATTGAAAGGAGGAGGAGGTTACTTCAGATCTGTATGCAGGAGGCAGCATTGAGATTGGCCTGGAAGAATGCTTGTGGTTTGGACACGTGGAGACTGGGATGGTTGATGTCCCCCTACCAGGTGAATGGAGGCAGTATTTTGCAGGTGAAGGGAATGGAATGAACCAAAGTGGGGGGACAGGGGGTGCTAAGGGCTTGAAAAAAAACATTAATTATTTAAGTGCTTTTCCCACCGTAAAAACCAAACCAGTTGCCGTTGAGTGTTTATGTGTGTGTATGTTAGGTGTCGTTGAGTTAGTTCTGACTCATAGCAGCTCTTTGTATAACAGAACGAAACAGTGCCTGGTCCTGTGCCATCCTCACAATGGTTGCTATGCTTGAGCCTATTATTGTAGCCACTGTCTCAGTCCACCTCACTGAGGTCTTCCTCTTTTTTGCTGACCCTCTACTTTACCAAGCATGATGTCCTTCTCCAGGGACTGGTCCCTCCTGATAACATGTCCAAAGTACGTGAG